CTTAAATATGATAACAGATTACTTAGCCATCAATTAAGCGCCTACCCCAGTTTCTTTTACCAATATCACAGAACAGAGACCAGTTTTAAAACACAGAACATGGGAAAATGTTTAAATTCTAGAAGACTGAACATCAGGCACAGTCGGAATCTTCTATAAATTAAAGACTGCCTTAACGATACAGAAAAAAATAAAATTCTTCGCGGTACTTTCGGACACATGGATGAAGGGTGACTTTCCTGAAGAATGGAGGAACATTAAGTAGCTCCAGTTCTCAAGAGAAATAACAATTTATCAGATTAAAAAACGACGGGCCAGTAGCGTTAATCTGCACAGGTCGGAAAATCGTAGAATGTGCCCTCAAGCCAATCATTCAGCTCTTTGTGGATGAAACAACATAATACCAAAACGGTCTTACGCATTTATGCCGCCACTCATTGCATCAATGATATAGTAAATTCCACAGAAGTACTTAAGAAATCAGGATACAAAGTGGTTGGCGCAGTTATAGATGTCGAAAAAGCTTTTGGCAACATAGGCATTGGCAAACTATCCGTAAACTTTTTGAAATTGAGTTAAATACACATATCATAAAATGGCTTATTAAGGGAATGAAACGGTCACTAGGGGTACTCCACAAGGAGGCGTTTTGTCACCACTGCTTTGGCTTCTGGTGATAAACAGCATTTTACTCGATCTGGAATACGGCGGAACAAAGGTCGTGGCCTACGCCGACGATGTGGTCCTGCTGATTGCTGGGAAATTTCCGCAAACTGTTTCGGATCTTATGCAGGGAGCTCTAGTTAAACTATCCAGATGGGCACGCTGCAATGGATTAGACGTGAACCCATCTAAAACTGAGCTCATACTCCTTACAAGGAGGCGGAAAAACCTGTCTTCTCTCTGCCAATGCTGGACGGTGTAATTCTAAGCCTTTCTTCGGAAGCAAAATATCTCGGCACTATCCTAGACCAGAAACTAAGCTGGAAGAGGAATATCGAGGAGCGAGCGAAGAAGGGCTTAAATGCACTTTACACCTGCAAAAACTCCATAGGAATAAGTTTGGGGGCTTAAACGCCATATTATCCGATGGATATATGAGTCAGTCGTCCGACCAATCCTAACCTATGGGGGACTTGTTTGGTGGCATTCCTTAAGGAAAACCACCTTCAGCAAGAATATTGATAAAGTCCAAAGAGTCGCATCGCTACTAATTACAGCTGCGGTCAGGAGCACGCCACAATCCGCTCTAGATACCCTACTCAATTTAAAGCCGTTAGACTTATTTGTAGAGAAACTAGCTGCTAGGTGTGCCCTGCGACTCAATGAACTGGGACAATGGCGGAGTCAATCCTTCGGACACTCTGTCATTCTTAAGTATGTGGAGAAAGTAAGTAATCAGGCTATAGCTAGTGACTATATACTCCCTAGGCACAGCTTTGAATTTCTCGACATCCGCATACCAAACAGGCATATCTGGTCCCGTGGCACTCCACCTTTTAACGGTATGCTGTCTATACTGATGGTTCAAAGATGGAAAGTGGAACGGGTGCTGGAGTCTACTGTGAAAGTTAAAGAGATTGTAGCGTTTATCAGGCAGAAATATTTGCTGTCAGAATGGCTATAGAGCTGCTGGAAAACAGAATCAATGAAGGGGATGAACCGGTGACTATATATGTCGATAGTCAAGAGCCCTAAAAGCTCTAAATTCTTTTATAATCAAATCTATGGCTGTTCTGGAGTGCAAGAATGCCCTGGAAAAGGTTAAGTCGGTTGTCAAGCTCTGTTGAGTTCCTGGACACTACAACATATCCGGCACTGAATCTGCCGATGAATTGGCCAGACGCGGATCTGAGTCAGTAGATCTAGAGATTGAGAGCTCAGTGAAGCCACCTTAATGCCACTTCTTTCAAGTAGTGCATAATCACTATCTTGGAAGATTTCAACAGAATTGGCTATCTGGAAGGGGATCTAACATCTCCAAAAAGATTTGGCCGGTGAACTCTTAAAGGAGATCACGGTCACTCACATCCATGACGAAGTTGGACTTGAAGCTTGTGGTGGGTCTAATCACAGGTCATTGCAACATAAAGGCCATGACATCAAAAAAAAAAAAAGGGGGGGGGGGGGGGGTGACGACACTGAATATTGCAGGCTTTGCCAGGATGAGGAAGAAACAGAAACGGTGGAACACTTACTCTGTCACTGTCCTACCCTTATCGGAGTAAGACATAGGCTATTGGGTAAGCAAATTCTGCCCGACTTGGCATGCCTCTCCGAAACCGAGCCAGCAGATATTCTTCAGTTAGTCAGAAGACTAAAATGGCTAAGGACGACACGCTGACTACACCGTAAATGCAAACCCACTAACTATTCTATTCCCTATCTATATTCTACTCTAACCCCCTAACTTATTTCACATTCACTTTTTCTAAATTAGGATGATCACAATGGGTTAAAGGATGTGTGGCTGTGTAAAACGACCTATTTTACACAGCCACACATCCTTTAACCTAACCTAACCTAAAGGGAATGAAAAAGAGAATCTTGTACTTGGAAATGACAAAATAACCATAAGAAATGGCTTGCCACAAGGAAGTGGCCTAAGCACCATTTTATTCAACATTTACATCTCAAATTTTTTCTACTTTGCCATGACAAGAACATTTTGAAAGCCGAAGAAGTCCTAACAAACAAAATAAATGAGTTAAAATAAAATTCCCACAAATTAAACTAAATTTTAACATGGACAAGCACAAGCTCGTGTGGGGCAAGTTACATTTCGGAACTGGTTGGATCCATTTCCAACTAGAACCGCTGCATTAGGACGAGGGAAACAGCAACTACTTAGCATCTACAACATAGCAGCAAAACTACCACCTCGATACAGATTCGAATTATCCACGGCAAAGGAGTTGGCAAAATGTTTAGCTTTTGACCTACTTGGATCAAATCTAATGAAACTAAACGATCAAATTAACATAAGCTATGGACATGTCTGGAGGAAAGTCAAAAATATCCTACTGCACATAGGCCCAACCAACACAATTGGTTACCCTGTTCATGACGCAATTAATGAAATATCAAGGCAGCTATAGGTGGAAGGTCCCTGAAGTACGTAACCATTGCACAAAATTGTAATTCTCATTTTTATAAAAAAAATTCCAAAAACGTCCAGGAAACCCTCGTTTCATGAATACAATATGAGCGCACAAAATTACCAAAACACTAAATAGAATTTTAAGCGATCACTGTTCTTGTGAGTGCACTCTAGCTAAAACGAACATACTCCCCTCCAATAAATATGACGTATGCTTAACAGAGGACAATGTCTCACACATAATCTTTGACTGCACTATATACAAAAGCTCAAGGAGGTCTTTTACAATGTTAAATGAGTAAGCAAGTTACGGTCTGGGCAGTCTGAAAGTATTGGCGGACTTCTGCGAACATGCTGACATCGAACTCTAAATCACACGCTGACTAGACTAAGCCTATTAATTGGTTAAGGTGCATAACCCCTGTTTCCTTCAGGAGTGGACCAAAATTCCTACTGGAATATAACTTAATAAGAAAAAATATATTCATTTTTCAAATAAAAATTATATTCAAATATAAAATATTTACATATAACGAGTGGCATATATTACAAAAATAAGAAATTATCTATTATTTTCGGCGTTATATCTTCCATATCTTAGGAAAACAAATTGTATTAATCTTATCTTAATTTTTTGTCATAGGTACCCACTAGCAAATTTAAATACGAAATTTGAAACAATATAACAATGTCTCGAAAATCATAAAAATATCGAATATTGAAGGCACCTTTATATAGGGGCTATACGAATAATAATTTTTTTATCATATGTTGTGGAACGCATTAAGATCTTCCAGACGAAATTTGAAAAAAATCCGATACATAATGTTGCTAAAATCATAAAATTACAAAATATTGAGAGGTACCGTTATATGTGAGCTATTCGAAAACGTGGACCGACATGACCCATTTACGAACCTATCCTGCCTACTGGAAAAATACACAGCCTTCTATCTTACTTCGTTCAAAAGATAGAGTGTTTCAACAGATAGACGAATATTTCGAGATGTTACCAACGGAATGGTAAGTTTTATATACCCTCAATTTTATGTAATTGTGTCATGCTGAATAGCTTTTTTCTGTGTACCAAAAAGTCCAGTAAATAATTAAGAATAAATTGAGAAATGACCGAGTTAAAGAAATTCACTTAAGTTTTATAAGTCCCAACAGGATGTTTTTTGTCCGGCCGTAAAAGAACTTTGCTGAACTGATATTACTGGGAAATTCAATGTTTTTAAATTGATTTCTTAAATTTCAATGCTCAAATTAATATATAGATGTTTCAATGTCACATTAAATTATTGCCCCGTGTTTGCTTTTTTTCTAAATATGGAACTGCATAGGCTTAAACATGTCAATTATTAGACTCCACTGTTCCATGGTCTTGGTAATAAAGAAATATGAAAACCTTAAAATTGTCTTACCTAACCATGACTTAAGCAGTAGGTATAACACATGGTACAATGAAGAGAAGGTAGGTCAACTTTGAAAAAATTGCAAGTATAGAGGTCTACCTGTTTGGCTTGTAATGTCAGAATTACTATCAAAACAATAAAAAAGCATACAACTTGTTGCATTGATTTTGAATAAATAATTTAAAACCGCGAAAACTGAATGAATGGTCAAAATTTCTTTTCAATATCATGTTCTATATATCTTTTATGGTTTATTTCGCGACAAAAACTGTAAATTTGTCGATGCATTCGTTGCAATAAGCATTTTGAAAACACCCGAATTTGAATATTTTCTGAACAATTTTTTATTATTGAAAAGAAGACACACACATAAGCAAATGAAGTTGACATATTAAGCCAGAAAAATAAAAAATTTAAATCATATGGTAGTTCTGCGCTACCTTGAATTCATTGTACCATGGTATAACACATTTTTACAGCCAATATTTGACATTTTTCAGGAATTCGGTCTGTTTATTTTTTGGACTTTCGTAATAATGGAACTAGATAACCATCTTAGCAATATTTCATTATTTTAGTATAACATCAGCATCTTCATGCAAATGCTGCTCCAGAGCATTTTTCTCTTCGTATTTCTTATCGAAAGCTGCACAAGAGTTATCCACACTGTCAGCGGCAACCAATAAATTAATAGCTTCTTCTGTTTCCTCTTTCGAATCTTTCGTTGTTTGAGGCTGTTTTATTTCAACTGTGCTTGTAGGACTTTGCCGATCACTGTGGGTTTTGAGATGAACCTTCAGAGTGTAGCGTTCCGTAAAAGATTTTGGACAGAGAGTGCATTGATGTCGCGGCCGGTTTTCTTGGTGGATCATAACATGATGATTGTACGTTTTACGGGACTTGAATGACTGATTGCATATGCTACAAATTACTGGATTGTCTTCGGCTTCATGGCGCAATCTATGATTGTACAGCATATTATCCAGCGAAAAGCGTTCTCCACACTTTTCGCACTGGAATTTCTTCTTATCCCAATGAATTCTCATGTGTCGTAGTGTATTCACGGGTCTGGAGAATCTTTTAGGGCAGTAGCGACATTCATTCTCCGTTTTACCCTCGTGAATGTTCATATGAAGTTCAAGGTATTCTTCATCTTTCCTTGATACGCCACAAATTTTGCACATGTATTGTTTTCCACTGTGAGACTCGTTTATATGGCTTTGCAGCAGGTATTTAGATGTGAAGATCGCTCCACATGTAGGACAGTCCTGTTGGTTACGCTTGCGCTCTCCTCCGGTGCTTGCAATCTCGTCTAAGTCGAAATTCGTTTGGCTACTACCATTACTAAACTCACCAGTCGAATCGTCGACAATTTCCTCGATAACATCTTCTTCCTCAACCTCGATCAATTCCTCTTTCGTGTCGAGGTTTGGATTAAAGGCATCTTCCAAATTTGCGTCGCCCTTAAACTCTAGCTCAATTTGTATGGGTTCCTCATTCTCAAAATGTGGCTGACCGCTTTTCTCAGCTAGAGCGTAGTGCAACTGACATGTTAGACGTTTTTGAGAATTTAACAAATTTACCATTAAATTGTCGTAGCTGGCAAGTTCTCTGAAACAATCGCCACAAACATAGGTGCCATTTTGGAAAATCAACTTGTATTTTAAGCAATTTCCCAAATGCTGGAGTACAACATGTAGTGGCTTTTGAGAAAATGGAACAATTGCTGATAAGACGTCATAAAATTCGTCATTGCATTTGGCAGTGTTTTCTGTGCAAAGGAAACAAACAATGGATTCCATAAGAGAAATTCCAATAGTACTGACGTTACACTATTTATTACAATTAAATAAACAAAATCTAAAGATTAAATTGTGTCGTTCTGGGACGAACTAGTTCAAAGAAAATATTTAATGAATGGAACTATCGGAGCTGCGTTCAGTTCCTTCGTTCGTTAATAAGTCGCCCAGAATCTGCAAGAAGGTAATGCTATGTTCCCATTGCACTTTCAATCATATTGTTCGCTCTCAGAATTAGGTACACGAATTAAACCGTTTATACGGCGCGATTCGTAAGTCACAGTTAAATAATTCATTTTTTCAAAAATTTGTTGATTTGTTTGTCTGTTGATTAAAACGAGAATTTATACCAATATACATGAAATTCTCACTAATATGAATAGAACAAATTATTGTTTTTCTCCCAAAGATTTATTATACCATTAATTTTACAATTTTCATTCATTTTTTTTAACTTTTAACTTTTTGTGAAAATGTTGACATTTTGAACATATTTTTGTATTTTTCTATTTTAAAATTCAGCTAAAGAGACATTTATCAAATCTTTTTTCTGCCGATACAAAAATTTTGAAAATATTGCCCCTTTTGTTTTCAGTTTTCTGCATTTCTGTAACTGTTTTACCTCCTTATTGTACCATGGATATTACCATTTTAATTTCATCATGCAAACTTATTTGTATTTGAATAAAAGTGTATACATGTGGAATTATCGACAAGTAGTTGAAACGATCGAAAAAATATTTGGCGCAATGTTAATTGAAGGCGAAAAATATTAAAATTGATTTAAACAAACCTTAAATTAATTTGATAATAAAAAAGAAAAGCAATGATATTTAATAGTCATCTTCACGACTGGTATGCAAGAATGTAGAACTTTTTACTACTTATGAAATCGAAAAAAGATCGCAAAGGTAGTAGATTCTTACAGGTTCTGGAACAGACCAATAGATGAAGTTATAGAAAACATATGCTCTGTTCCAGAACCTGCAATTTACTATTTTTTTCAATTTTTTTATCATACCGGCAAAACCGTTATCATAGTAAAAAGTTTTACATTCTAGCAGCTCTGTAATATACAAAATACACTCACTCTTTCGAAAAACAAAAAAATATATATTTTCAGAATCAGTGATTGGAAGTCACATTGCGGCGCGCGCATAAGGGATCTTAACCACTTTTGTCATGGAATTGATAGATTATACAGTTTGGGTCATATTTTTGAAAATAAATTCAGGTCTTCCAAAAATCTTTCGCGCTATTTTTATAATTTTTAGAGTAACGAGAAAAATAAAAATATCCCATCTTCATTATTTTTCATTCTTGACCCTTGATTTTAATCGGAATTTGGTCAAAAATAGACGAAAAACACACTAATATAAATAGAAGAAAAACTTGTCTCTATTTCAAAGAGCAATTCTATTAATAATAATCATCAATTACTGTTGTATAGGAAATTAAGTAGTTTTTTAATAGTTTAGGATTGCGATAAGCATTTTTTAAACACCCAAATTTAAATTTTCCGAACAATTTTTTATTATTGAAAAGAATACATACAGATAAACAAATAAAGTTGACAAAATGAGTCAAGAAAATAAAAAATTAAAATCATTAGCCTTACCTCTATTTTATTGTACCATGGTAAGGTATAGCTAACAGCTGATTACATTTTTTTATATTGTCCGACTTCAGCCAATTTTATGTTTGCATTTATTGGTTTAAAAAACAAAAGCAATAATTGGAAGAAGCATGCATTGCAAGGCGCGTATTAAGATATTAGCCAGTTTTAACATGCAATTGGAAGATTGAACAGTTTGGATCATATATGTATTTGAAAATATTCGAGGCTTTTAATTCATTATTCGCGCTGTTTATCTCATTCTAAAAATGATGAATAATATAAAATAAATAAAAAAGTTGTTGCATATATTTTTGAATAATTCTGTTCTACCTCTTTGTTGCACCATGGATATTATTATGAATGAGTGTCATTATTATGATTAAGAATAGTGCCATGTAAATGAAGAATGGAAAAAATGTTTCAGTGGTAACGAAAACATGCTATAAGGAAAGATTTCTCATGGGTAACATAATACAGGTAACAGCAAGTGTTGTTATACAACAATCGTAACAACAACCACATACAAATTTGTTTTTGTACGTAACACAAGTGTCAGAGTTATGTGTTCAAAAATGTAAACAAAATAATTAATTTTCAATAAATTATGTTAATTTGGAAAATATATATTTTTGGAATTTGGATTGTTAAATTGAAAATACAGAAGAATAGTTCTTAAATTATTTAATTTTAATGCTTTCACATCATTCCCCTGAATGTATAGTTGTTAGCTGTTGGATCTAAACTCTCAACACTTTCAATTTAAAACCAAACAGCATACATACATAAAGTATTCTACACTTTCTAATGTTATGAAACATAAAATATAGGAATATATTATGTAACGTGCTGTCTGTGTTCCTTAACTGCAAAAAAAGTTTCCGAACCATCGCCTTGGAGTTTTGTTAAGTACAACGGCGATTTTTTCTATTATTCATGGTGGAAAAATACAGGTAGATGCATCAACGCTTGGGAATAACGCTTGATACGTCAAAAAATTTTAAAGTTTTTTTTCAAATATAAGTAGATTTTTATATGTTTTCTTATACGACGTCACTCGGAGGTTATTATAATTCCCGTTTATCAACAATTTTTACAAATTTAAATAATTTTTCATTCAACATTTTCAATTCCAAAATTGGTTTGACAGTTCATTGTCCCAGCAGCTGTGTCGATGCGTCCACCTATATTCTTCTACCATGCTATTATTAGGTAAAAATATGTTCACATTGCCCTGCAGTGAAATTTTATATTAAAAAAGGGTATACCTATAAAAAATCTTAAATAAAAAAACTATTTAATTCTTCACACTAAATTTCCTGAGCGAACACTCATAGTTGTACATAGTTCAAATCAAATTACTCTCAGAACAACGAAAAAATATGTTCCATCCATAACAAATGAGAGCATTAATCAAAAAAAATAAATTATGACATTTAAAAATTTTAAATAGAAAAATGTAATGAAATTTTCAAAATTTTTGGGAAGACTGAAAATTATGAATGAAAACTACAATGTTGAATGGCATAGTATGTACATTCAAACGAAAGAACATTTTGTTTTCTCTCTCATTCGAGGTACGCATTTTGTGAACGAGTTGAAATTTCCACAGAAAACTGCAAACAAAATAGGCAATATTTTCAAAATGTTTGTATTGACAGAAAAAATGTTTGACAAGTGTCTCTCCAGCAAAATTTAAAAAAAGAAAAATACAAAAATATGTTCAAAATGTCAATATCTACACAAAAAGTTGAAAACATGAATGAAAATTGTAAAATTAATGATATAATTACTCTTTGGAAGAAAAACAAAAATTTCTTCTATTCATATTAGTGAGAATTTCATGTATTTTTGTAAAAATTCCTATTCAAATCAACAAACAAAATTTGTGAAAAAAGGAATTATTTTACTATGAATTACGAACCGTGCCGTATGAACGGGTTAATTCGAGTACTTAATTCTGAGAGCGGACAACGTGATTGAAAGTGTAATGAGAACATACCATAAACGTACCAACAGGAAAGGAACCATACAATACAATCGAAACTGTACATGGTAGAAGAATATAGGTAGACGCATCGACACAGCTGCTGAGACAATGAACTGTCAAACCAATTTTGGAATTGAAAATGTTGAATGAAAAAATTATTTAAATTTGTAAAAATTGTTGAAAACGCGAATTATAATAACATCCGAATGACGTCTTATAAGAAAATATTTAAAAGTCTACTTATATTTAAATAAAAAAAACATTTAAATTATTATTTTGACATATCAATGCTCCCAATCGTTGATGCACCTACCTGTATTTTTCTGCCATGAAGCTGTAGAATGTAGTTCCGATAATTCTATTCACGCAATAATTCCTTTGAACTAGCTCCTACCACAACGACACATCTCTCTGTGTTTGTAAACAGAGAAAAATTATTTAAGTTATTTTTTCTTTAAATTCGTATAGTTTAAGGCTTTCCGCGGAAACCGAAAGGGAAGCCACTGGGGAAAATGAGCCGCCCAATGTGCTACATTTGCCAAGAATCCAACCAAAAGCTTCTGTACAATGAAGAAGTGTACAAAGCAAAAGCCCCCAAATCAAAGAAAACAATTCTCGATGTAATAAAACACATTTCAAGGGTCATAAAAGTAACATTCGATGTCCCAGCAAAGGCGCGGATTTGCATTTCATGCTATAAAGAACTAGTTCGCTATGACTGCTGCGTTGTGGAATTGCTACAAGTGCAGAAAATTATTACGGAAAAAATTAATAATAGAGCTAAAGTTGTCAAGGCGTCATACGCCTCGACATTAAAACCTGTTAAGCAACAAGCGCCGAATAATGTCACTGAAAACGAGGACCACATCATTAAGGATGATGATGGTAGTGATTTCGATGTAGAAGAACCGAAGGAAGAAAATACTTTTGATAGCGACGAAATTATTGACGAATCCGATTTTGTCGAAGACGAATTTGAAGATTCAGGAGCAGATGGATCAATTTCGAGTGGCGATTTTGCATGCCCTGTGTGTAACATGAAGTTTTTGAATCAGAAAGAAGTTGATTCGCACTTGGATACTGAGCATAAATCCAGAGTGACCTGCAGCGAGTGTGGCGTACAGGTTAGGAGCGAAGAATATTTGGTACTCCACATGAACATACATAATGGAAAGACAGAAACTGAGTGTAGTTTTTGCGACAAGAAATATGCCCGTCGTGCGAACGTTATTCGACATATGGAAATACATTTCGACCAAAAGAAACATCAATGCGAACGCTGTGGAATGTTTTTCTCACAATCTACAGTATTTTTTAACCATCGCCTGCAACATGAAGCCGAGGACAACCCACTTATTTGTCCTGTATGTAGCCAAAGTTTCAAAACAAAACGCACCTACAAACGGCATATGATTACTCATCAGGATGATAGACCACGCTACGGATGTGAGGTCTGCGGCAAAGTATTTGTTGACAAATATACACTTAAGATGCACATGCAGACTCATCACCAAGGGGACGAGAATGAAACTCCAAAGAAGAAAAAGAAGCAAAATGAAGAACAAGAGCAGGTTTTGTTCACATGCGTTATATGTCATGATATATTCCTAATGCGAGATTTATTCAATGAACACATGCAAAATGAGCACGACGTAGTAATGGATACATAAATCTTTATTTTATTCTTTAAAAAATATGTAACTAGGTTTAGTAAGAAAAATAAAATATTGTTTCAGCGTTCGAATCTGCTGCCAACAAAGCAATGGAAGCACTAACCATGGTAGAGGAATATAGGTAGCATCAACGCTTGGAAACATTGATTGATATGTCAAAATTTTTAAAATGTTTTATGAAAAATAAGTGAATTTTTATGTTTTTTTTTTACGACGCAAATCACAGGTGGTTATAATATGAATTTTTCAACAATTTTTACAAATTTTAATAATTTTTCATTCAACATTTTCAATTCCAAAATCGGTTTGGCAGTTCATTGTCCCAGCAGCTCTGTCGCTGCGACTACCTGCATTCTTCTACCATGGCACTAACATAAGCTACAACTGCACTGTTTGCTTGTTTATCGTGGCCATCTACCAATCACAATAATTTTTACATACCTACGTTTTCAATATTTAAAAATTTTGCGACCCGTAAATTATATCTGTTTTATTATTCTATGCAGTAAACGGCAGAATTGTGCAATCACTGTCACGCATCGTCAGCAGTGATATGGAATTGATCGCAAAATGGAAATAATTGTGCAGCAATTTTTCGTTTTTGACGACTATTTATTGTGCTGTGACGCTTCCAGTCTTCAACATAAGTATTTAAAAAAAAAAACTGGCAGCAACACTGGATTTATTACCTAATGAAGATCGGATCTAAAAGATAGAAACGGCTATTTCAATTCTAATGTCACAAGCTTTGTAAATACCCATAACAATATTAACTTTTATAAGTGTATAGAGTCCAATGAATATAAAACCTTTAATATTTGTGATGAAAAATCTCATATTCAAAAATAAACAAAATTTGTAGATATCAAAGCTCGACTTTCATTTAACAGTGGAAAAACGTTAATATCCTTCATCCGAAATTTCAATAGTATAATCAGAATAAGTTTTCAATAAAACTTTCCTAGACTCTGAATGATCGGCTTTTCCATAGCCCTGTAAAGAAAATAATATTAGCGACAATACAGAAATATTAACATGTGTTTATATTGCCTGTGAGTATCCGTAGACTTTTATTAGTTTCGCCGAAGGATTGTGTTCAATTCTACCACCTCCTAAACATTCGGTATCCAGACCCAAACCTTGACAAGAGGTGCTGGCACGTTCGTATATGTCAGCTAAATATATTAAAAATGTATTAACTTTCATTTCCCAAGGAAAAATAACTTACAGTGCCATTGACAATCAGCATAGCCCCTAACAATTAGTTTGCTGGGTTCCACGCCATCGGCTTGTTGTTTACCGTAGACTTTTATAAGAACGTATTTAAAAATGCCCTCTTCAATGTCCACATCTTTAACTGCTTCTAATTTAGGGTCGCTCATTTTACAAGCCCCGGTAGCTTAGAGTACAATATTAAAGTTGAATATACAAATAGAGTAAAGTAAATTATACTCACTGTATCCTGAACAGAATAGGGGACGGCAAAATACCAATCGCTGAACTGCAGTTCTCGCAGTTTTCAACATGTCTTTATGACACAACCAACAGCTGTTTGTGAAATTCAAACTGACGGACACATTAGGACTGTTTGTTTACCATTTGCTCTGTTATAGAACAGCAATAATGTAAACGTTTTTACGCCATGAAAAAATTACTAAGGTACCCGACTTCTGCCAATTTTGTGTATGTACTTATTTTTTTGAAAAATAAAAACAAAATATTTTCAAAACCAATGATTGGAAGACACGTAGATTGCGGCTCGTGCATTAAAGCTATTTACCAGTTTAGGCTGGATCATATTTTTGAGCGAAAATCAAGGCAGTTCATTCATTTTTCGGGCTGTTTAATTCAATTTAAAAATGAGGGAAAAAATTAAAGCAACTTCTTTCATATAATTTTGAATGTGTCTGACAGGAAGCGGACTTAGCGTCAGGGCTGTATTTCTACGAAACTGTTCTACCTTCTTATTGTACCATGGTATTAACCAAATACGCCTGGTGCATATCTTAAAATCTACCAACGGATACATAGACAAATGAAGATATAGACAACGAAATGCTCTCACCGTTTATCTTCGAAAAAAAATCGAATCAGCAGATGTCGTCTATATCGTTTTAGGGGTTTGAGTGGGAATATTGAAGTCACTCAATTCTAAAACGTTAAAAATATCAAAAACTGTAGGATATTTGTCAGTTGAAAATTATTTCATAAAAAAAGAAATTTGAAAAGTACGTGATGACATCGAAAAATATGGGAATATTCCAGTGAAATTCTTGAAAACGATAAAATGTGTTTTCGAAGTCGAGTGGCTTGAACGCGTAAATCAGCATGTTGACTATGCAAAACATGATGAGAGCCACCTGGAAAAAAAGACAAAACTAACTTTTCGTTGTCTATATCTTCATTTGTCTATGACGGATAACGTTGTAAAAATGGATCATTTTTATGCAAGCCACACACTATACAATTGGTTGTAAAACTTGGAGAGTTCTCAAATTGTGTGTTTTTGTCACAAACGATACAACTTAGTGTACAACTTCTTTGTGCAACTTCACTTTTCGTAGAGCTTATTTGAGTTAAAATGACACCGGAAAAAAATCATGCTCTATAATTGACTCAATAGCTTTTATTTATAATTAATTTTTGAAATCCCATTCAATAAATTGAAATTCCTTTTTTATAAATACATTAAAATCACATATTTGATTGGATTTCGTATAGTTTTGATGTGCGAATCAATGGTGTTGCCTCTTCAAAAATAAAAACAACATGCCAAATATCAAAAAATTTTGATTTTTCATACAACCGAGACACAACTTCGTACAACCGGGCCACAAACGATACAATCTTGAATACAACTTCTCCCAGTTGAACAACCAGTTGTAACGTGTGTGGCTTGCATTATAATTTACTGGACTGTTATATTTTCAAATTACAAACATTCACATTTTTCGTATTACTAATTTATTGGTCTGTTCCAGTACCTGCAAGAATCTACTAGTTTTGCCATTTTCTTCGATATCATAAGGGGAAAATCGGTTATCGTAGTAAAAACTTTTACATTCTTACAGTTCTGGAACAGTCCCTATATTTTTAACACACAAATTAAGAAATTATTCAATTGTTTATAATTATAAAAATGATCTGTTGGTAGATTTTAAGATATTTTTCAATTGTCAAAGGTTCAACTTTCCAAAATGCTCAAATTGTGCTAATACCTTTTTCGGGTCCAGAGATATGGGTCTTTCCATCCGCATAACCCGATTCTAACCAGTTCATTAAAATTATGTTTTCAGTAAAAAAGGTTTATTGGAATTACAAAAGTTTTCTAAATTTGACACTTTTTGTAAATAGCCTTCGGCCAGGACTTGAGATTTTCTCCTCTGGATATGTCCCACACCGGCTAACGCGAACCAAAGTTTTCTAAATGTGATGCTTTTGTAATCCAACGACGGTTCGCGTAGCTTTTTTTATTGAAAACATAGTTTTAATGAACTGGTTAGAATCGGGTTATGCGAGTGGAAAGACCCTTATCTATGGACTCAGTAAAGGTATGTTTTATAAAAAAATCCGGGTCCAAAAAATTCGGTAATTTGACTATAACTTCCGAACCACTTACAACTTTAACAAAACAATACAAAATGATATGATTCCTTTTTTTGTTTAGTGCAATCATAATAAAGATTAACAAATGAAATTAAACCAATAGATGATTGGCACCAATGGTTTACAAAGTGTCACAATGCTAGCTGTGGGGATAAATGATTACTTCTGATGTGATGATTAGTTGCTGTTGCTTCTCTTATTCCTTTTAAATACCTTTGTGTGAATACTTATGTGTTGGTGTTACCAAAAAAAAACTGGTGGTTGCTAGTTATTGCTTATCATCAGAAGATTTTGTTTATGGTGTAAATTTGGAATTTGTTTTGTAAGTTATTTGTTTTTGTTTTTCATTTTCTCTGCTACTAATTGTGTTTTTTTTGTAAAGAATAAAATGTTGTAAATTCCCTTATATTTAGTCTATAATTTCGACATAATTTGCCGGAAACAGTCTACAAGTGCCATCTGGTCCAAGACCTTGCCACCAACCCTCATCGATATCGGGTAATTGGATCCGGCTCTTTTCGGGGTTTTGAACCCGGACTTTGGCGTCAAAAATCTGGGTTCCCGTGTCCGTTCCGGTATCAGGGTAAAAATATCTACCACTGGAAAAAATTTTGAAAAAATTAAATTGTCTTTACTAAACTAGAGTTAAGCCACATTTTTTGTACGGAATAGTTTTTTTTTCAATAGTTTGTGAAGAACTAGCAAATGTAGTTGGAGCCATGGTACAATAAAAAGGTAAGGTAGAGCTACCAGCTGATTACAATTTGTTTCTAAGTGTGCCCGACTTCTGCCAATTTTGTGTATGTATTTGTTGTTTTGAAAAATAAAAATATAATATTTTCGAAATCAATGATTGGAAGAAACTTAAATTGCGGGGCACGCATTAATAATACTTACGAGATTTACCATGAAATTGAAAGATTGAACACTTGGGATCATATTTTTGAGAGAACATCCAGGCATTTCATTCATCTTTTGCGTTATTTGACTCATTTTAGAAATGAACAAATATATCAAATAAATTAAAACAACTTGTTGCCTATAATTTTGAATAACTCTGACAGGAAGCGGGAATAGCCTTAAGCTGCCCTCAGACACACCAACAGTTGGCCCAACTTGTCACTTTTAAGTTTTATGAAAAAGTTGGTCGGTCTCCTCGCACGTACCAACTTTTCATACAACTGTTGTACCATGGTACAATGAAGAGAAGGTAGGTCAACTTTGAAAAAATTGCAAGTATAGAGGTCTACCTGTTTGGCTTGTAATGTCAGAAATAGTATCAAAACAATAACAAAATCAAACAACTTGTTGCATTTATTTTGAGTAAATAATTGAAAACCGCGAAAACTGAATGAAAGGTCAACACTTCTTTTCAAAACCAGGTTCTATATATCTCTAAAAAATTATTTCGCTACAAAAACTCTAGATTTTGTCGATGCATACGATGAAATAAACATTTTGAAAACATCCGAATTTGAATGTTTTCTGAACAATTTGTTTGTTATTGAAAAAAAAAAACACATACATAAACAAAAAAAGATGACATATTAAGCCAAGAAAATAAAAAAAAATTGAAATCATATGGTATCGTAGCCCTACCTTGATATCATTGTACCATGTGTTGTACCAACTTTTCATTTACAAAGTATTTTAGAAGCGTCAACATGGACTCGGATGCTCATGCGCTACTTGGAATTGATATAATTTTAGAGGAAGAAGAAGAAAGACAACTTGCGCTCAGCGCTCAGCTTATGTATGTGCTGCTTCACCAAAGTCAAGACATAAATGAAGAAAACACTGAAGTTGGTACAACTTGCCCTCGCATGCACCAACAGTTGGCCCAACTTACGAAATTATCAAAAATTTTTGATATTTCCAACCAACTTCAACCAACTTCAACCAACTTTCGAAAAAGTTGTACAACTAGCCCTCAGACGCACCAATAGTTGTACTAACTTGTCACAAGTTGGGCCAACTGTTGGTGTGTCTGAGGCAGCTTTAGGGCTGTATTTCTGCAGTTTTACGAAGCTGTTCTACCTCCTTATTGTACCATGGTTGGAGTCTTTCAGTTCTGGAATACAACTATGTTTTGTAATCGTTACTGAACTTATCGTTTTTTACGATTGTACTGAACTATAAACAATTGAAAGTTTATCGGGTTTTGTATCATCTCTACTCAAAATCTATATAAACAAAAGTTCGTCTTGTTTTCTGGTTTTTAATAATAGAAATTTTTTTGAAAATGTCCCATACTATGGGGGAATTTGTTCGTTGCTTCCTTTGTCGTAAAAAACACACTTCGCCTCACAAAATAATTGAGGGCAGCATCTGTCCAGCATCCAGGAAGAGTGTCAAAACTGTCCTTTTGCACTTGGCTCGATGCGGAAAATTCCAGTTGCTGATAGCCAGGGGAGAATGGCTGTGTCGTCTTTGTTTTATTAAGATTGTGGATTACGACACCACATTTATAAACCTTACCCGGAAGCAAAAGGTTCTTACCACATTGGTTGAGAAAGCTGTTACAACGATTGATAGCGACATTGAAGCGGAGTGCCTCCAAGAAATGTCACACATGGAAGAAATTAATGACGAACATTTTTTCGATGACGCCAACGTATCTGATAGAGAAATAGCCGAAACAATTTTTGAAGTTATTGGAGGAAACAGTGAAAAAAAGCGAAAAGTCACTAACCATGGGAAGCCAAGACAGGAAAGAAACATTGAGTCTGCAGGATCTGACAGCGGCGAAGACGTTGAAGCCCTAGCAGAAGGTGAAACAATACAGTGCAATCTATGTGCAATGAGATTTAAAAATCGAACACACCATCAGAGGCATGTCGTTCAAGTCCACAAAAAGTTTAGTTGTAAAATGTGCTCATTCAGTCACAGAAACGAGGACTATGTGATGCTGCACATGAATATACATGAAGGAAAAAGTGAAAATCAGTGTCGTTTTTGCAATAAAGAATTTACGACCAAAATCAGTACAATACGTCACATGGAAGTACACATGGACACAAAGAAGTATCAATGCGATAAATGTGGTTTAGTTTTCTCCCAGACAACAGTGCTTTATAACCACAAATTACAGCACGAAGCCGAGGAGAAGCCGTTACGCTGTGAAATTTGTAATCAAATTTTTAAAACCAAACGAACGTTCCGACATCACATGGTCACACACCGTGCGGACAGGCCACGATACAGTTGTGAATATTGTGGAAAGACCTTTACGGAAAAATATACACTTAAGGTTCACAAACGTACCCATCCTGAGTCGGGTGGGGCGGCAGTTAATCAAAGCGATTCAGTTCCGAATCAGTACCAAAATAATCAGCCACAGGCTCTTCAATATGAAGAACATCAAGTACAAGCCTACAACAGCTCACAGGTCGGGTATACTCAGCCGCAGCCATCTTCCACTTCTTCCAACAATATTGGGACGAAATTCGGTTGCATAATATGTGACCAACATTTTAATGGCAAGGATAGCTTGAATAAACACATGGAGAAGGAGCACGATGTTATACTCAAATCTCTGAGTATTGCCAATTTTACGCAATATGAAGTTGTAACAAACGAATCGCGAAAAGCTTGTTATATATGTGGTCAAATATTCAGTACCCAACATAATTTAGATTATCATTTAGTAAATGTACACGAGGTTACATTAAAATAGTCAAAAAGGTAAAAAAGTAATAAAAAACACAACAAACCGAAATTATGATGCAGAATTTGGTATGTGTATTCTTAAACAGGACCTTTGTTGATAGTAAGACAATCAAAACTGATATTTGTTAGAAACGAAAAATTGAGTTACTACATGAAAATCTGTGTTTCTTTTATTCAAGTATTTTTGGTTTCCGAAAAACAACATACATCCAAACTTACTCATTTACAGAATATCAAATATAAGATTTTTATATATTTTTTATAATTTCTACCATGCTATGGAGGCTATATTTAATTTGCCATTCCATTTCCATCTTCACACCAGACCTTGGGTTAATAAATTTTGGCCCTTTGTGGTAAGATACTTCATGGAGTTGACCGATATTGTCCTTTTTAGCAAAGTAGGAGCAAAATCAGATTATCCTTTCTCTTTCTGTGCAGCAAATTATTTCCTTTGAAAATTTCGACATTTTGTGGGGGAAGGAGTGGACCGATATTGCCCATCTCCGAACTCGATCTAAGTTTGACAATAATATTACGATGTACCAAGTTTGGATCAAATTGGATACTCCCTTGGAGAGTTATCTTGTCCACCAGCCAGACAGACGGACGGACGGACATCGCTAGATCGACTCTTAATGTCCAGAAATGGATTTGGTCCAAAGAGACCTAGGGTCTAAAACCTTTATTTCGATTATGCACGTTTTGGACGTATCAAATGATATATACCCTCTCTAGCCATATGGCTGAGGGTATAAAAAATTAAATATTCAGTTTTATAATATTATGCTTTTATTTTCTATATTGACTGCGTTACCTAAATTTCAAATTAGCGTATACAAATATTAAAATTACCTTCACAATTATCAAATGTTTCGTACTTTCGTATTACACAAATGCGCCATATCTTAAAATCAACAAATAATGTTGCAAAAATCATTTTAAACATTTAACCAAATGTAATATTTTCCAATTACAAACATTCACATACACACAAAAAATTGTTCAAATGTCAATTTTGAAAATGTTCATCTTTAACATTTTGTACGTCCTACGCCATGTTGGATAACATTTATATAAATATATGTGTTTTACTTGTGTAGTCAAATACGTCGACTGAGTACTTCGAATTTTAGGCAACGGTAAAAAAAACTAACAGCGTTACCTAAAATTCGACGCACTCGGTCCACGTATTTCACCACAAAAGTGAAACACATGTATTTATGTGGTACCCTAATACGTCTGTTGCTATCACGGAAGAATGGGTCGTTCGGTTCATATTTTCAACCAAATCATCACAAGGTGGATCAGGTTGATTAAATTTGTAATTTAACACACAAATCAGATGTTAGTATCTTTAAACTTCATTTTTACTAAAAATAAATGCAGCAACTTTTGTTTATTTCACACTTTTTTCACAAAATTTTAATATAAGAGAAGCTGTAATTTTATGGAACTTTTTGGAGTCTTGTACATATGCTTTTCTGCACTTTCAATGCTATCGATTTCACTTGCATCTGCGGTTTGAAGAGAACTCAATTAAATGTTGATCGTAACTTAAGGTGTGATGATTTTTAAATTATTTTCTTGACATTGTCGTTGGACAGCACATCACTATTGGTCTATTGATTAATTGAAATTAATTTTAAAAGTATTATAATATATTGTTGTAGGTTTTTACATTACGCCAATCCTATTATGGTTTTGTCTTATCACTTCAAATTCGACAAGCCAACCGAAGAAAATTAAGTGTTTTGTCCTCATGGTGTTTTAAAAGAAAATTATGTATATTATAAAAGACACACACCAGATAAATTAAGGAAGCGATTCGACGAGTAAAATGACCGCATTTTTATTATTTCAGCATAATATATTTTTGAATATTTTCATGAACACATAGAACTTACCTACAGACAAGTATAAGTATGATGACAGATATTGGATTGGAAGCTTAGCATAACATACCAATATAAAAAAAATCAGAAATTAATAGAAGTATGTCATTCGCGGAAGCAATAAAATTAACTAAAATCTAAAATTCAAGAAATAAACCAAACTCAACCGTTGTTTTACGAACATAGACATATTAATTTAATAATTTATTAAATTTAAAATAACGTCAGGCCGTATTTAGCTATGCAAAACAAGTTTAGAACTTAAACAAATCACAACAAATACAATTTGTTTATACCGTAGAACTATAATGAATTGTTAAATGCGCATCACTGCCACTTCATAAAGACATTGTGTTTTAGTTGCATTTCTATTATTGCAAGTAAAACGGACATTATGAGATAGCAGAATTGTTCTCCAATAAACTGCGTATATTTAACTCGAATAAATAATACATGATCACGAATAATTAACTAGTGACGCCAAAATTGCATTAAACATACATAGCCATTGATTCTTTTTAAAGAATTGTTTATATAGTTATAATGTTATATCCAACATTTAATTTTACATAACTTACTATGGTATCTTATTCTGTAATATTTATGTTCTTGCATAGACTTTAAGGAAAATTAACGTCCATACTTATGTTTGTACTATAAAAACAAAACGGTCAGCTTATCTGTATGAGACGCCAGTCAGTCAGTCGTATTGTCGATTTCTTAAATGTATATATTATTATTTTACAAATTTAACTAAAACATAGTAACTATGAACGTTTTTAACAGTGACTATGACATTGGTTTTCTTTTTGTTTTGTTAGAGAAAAAACCTTCGAGATGTGCATACCTTTGGCCATTAGTATCAATAAATCGTTGGGTGTATTTTATATGCATTTTCGTTAATTTAGTTTTCAGTTTCAATTTCTAAATACATATTGGGTGTTATGACTTTTTTCATATTTTCGTAGGCCGCATTCATAACACCCCAACTTACGAACGATCGTGCCGTATTAAATCCACAGCCACGGTAAAAATGTGCGATGCTGTTGCCGCGTTCGCGATATATTTTTAAAAATGATTGTGTCATGCTTTCTGCAGCGTGTCCCATATCACTTTGCATTGCTACCTTGATGACATTTAATGGATAAAATAATGTACTTATACTGGCTCCAATAATGGCTCCGGAAATAAATTCTTGTGCAGCTTTTGTGGAGATCGAAGACTGGAATAATTAAAAAAAAAAAAATAAATAAATAAAAAAAGAATATTATATTTATTTTATTTCAAAATTTGATAAAAACAACATAACCTAGACTACAGTAGTTATTTGTGATTTACATTGGTCAATTATAAAGTCGCAAGTGTTATTTTTGGGTGAGAGTAGTGAGAATAATAATGTCTCCTCTACAGCCTCTCGTACCCAAAAACTGGTTAGGTCGAGTTTTCATGACAACTGTAGTATTTCTTGTCGAATTGATATTTGTCTGTATTTTGTAAAATGTATAAAGACAAATTTTTTGTACACTGTTCTTTATATCTACAGTAACAACAGAAACGTATCAATACTTATCTCGTGTTTTAACTCCATTCATTATGCCGATTTGCGTATATGACGAACCTTTTGAGATTGTCGTTTGTGAGAAAACATACTACGTTAGAAGATGTGTTAACTCTCTTGGACGTTTTCTAAATTTTCTTTTAAGAAGCATAAATCGTCTAAAAGATTAGGTTTAGGTGAATAATAAAAATGTCACTTTCAGGAAGTCATTCCCCATGGTAATTTTTAACAAACTTGCCAGATTCTTTAAAAAAAAATTATAATGGTGAAGACCAGTGCGATGCATTGTGTTACGAATTGTATTAAATATTACTACAATAATTTTACCTTTAGATATGTTTAAACGTATAATAAAAAGATCACAGTTTTGCGAGTTCCCGATTGTTACGTCGAAGCGTTGACAAATTTCGGTGTTCAATAGTCAATGTAACAGAAATAATTATACAGCAGAATGGGACTGAAGTAAAACATCCCGGGGATTAAGTTGAGTTTAGGGGCTATGGTCGGATTGACATGACCACGTGTAGATCTTTTTAATCTGATTACGGCAAGGTAATTTTTTTGTGGGGGAAATATCCGGTTACCCGTTTATTCGACCTGGAAGTTCGGATACAAAATCCGGGTTTTGTCCGGTTGTACAAAATGGGTATCATTTGAAAGCTTATGGAAATACCTTTCTAAAAAGTGGTTATATGATGGATTGGTTTCAATCGGTTCCGGAGTAATACAATAAATTGGTATTTTTGTACCGAAACTTTTTGAAAAACCCATAAAAAGTCGAAAATGGTCCTAGAAACTGAATACCACATTGTAGCTTACACTCTGGCCTTTCCAAAAATTTGAGATTTCCTCTACTAATATGTTTCTAACCTTTACAGCTTTGTAGTTCCGAAGATATTGACTTTAAAGTCGAATACCGGCTACTTACAAAAATAATAATGTAATAAATAAAAATAAGAAAACATAACAAAAATAAAAATAATAATAATATTTAGAAAAACTATGGATTGCGTAGCCGGTGTTGGACATACCTAGAGGAAAGAATCTCAAGTTCATAATATGCATCACATATATCTTTGGAACTGCAAAAAATATCAGCACATATGATACTATTTTGTAAAGGCAAGAATATAGGCTATAATGTAGCATGTAGATCTTAATACCGCTTAATGGGTCTATTTTCGAGTTTTTAGGTGCTTTTCAAAAAGTATTGGTATAAAAATACCAATTTTCTTGCATTACTCCGGAGCCGGTTCCAATAACCCTATAATATGACAACTTGCCATTTTTTAAAAAAAAAACTTATTTTGTATTCGATCTTTCGGGTCAAATAACCGGGTATTTCCCCCACGAAATAATCACTTTCCCTTAATCAGGTTTAAAATATCCACTTGCAGTAAAAAAATCAAAATGATCCGAGCATAGCCCCTAAACTCAACTTGCAGCCATACCGGCAACAATATCCAAAATTTGTAAACCCTTATTCTAAGCAACTCGTTTACTGTGAATTATTCACAGTGACATCATTAAATCTACCCGACATTTTATATTTATTTCTGGATTTCATGTAGGATATGTAAGCATTGCGGTTGGAGCAGAATAACGCATTTATAGCAAGGGCATATTATATACATTTTAAAACAAGTCGTTTTAAAATTACTTACTCTTTGAGGTAATCGTTCACTAGCTTCTTCACGTAAAATGAAGAATAGAGCATTTGATGGACCATTTCGCCATAGTACTGGTACTATACCTCGATAAAGTTCTTTAAATCCGTGATGCGTCAGGACATACCTGTAATTAAATATATTCATAGATAGAAATCCAATAATAAAAAAAAAACACAAAATGACTTACCTAAAGGCGAGATGTGTATTTGCGAAATGCTCGTGGTATTTTGAATGAGCCAATAGGGTTTGGACTCGCTCAAATGGTAATAAGACCGTTTCAACTGTTCCTGCTGCAATTCCGGCAATAATTTTAGCTTTATACGCGTTCATATCGTAATCGTCCACGAGATATCGCCTTGTTCCATCAAAGATACCAAACATTACCGACAATGAAATGGTCTTCTGAGCGAGAGGGGGGAATATACCTCGATACAGAAACATTAGTCCTTCATGGCGCAGCTGACTAAATGCAGATGTTATAGGAACATCATGCAAAATTTGCCGAAAAATCATCTTATATATGGGGTATGTGATACCAATATTGACAAAAGCTGCTCCACAACCACAAGCAAACTCCCTCCAGTCGAATGAACCAAAGAAACGTTCGACGAATATACTGCGTCCAGGCGGAATGTTTATATTGCCAGGCTTTTGCCTAGAAGGCTGGGTAATATGGTTCGGTTCGACAACCATTTTCGAATTTGTTTTTACTTAAATAAAGAATTTCTAATGTATGCAAAATTATGAAACTGGCCGATACTGCTAGCTTTTTAACATTGTTTTGTTGTTGTTCCGCAATATTTGTCAGCTGTTGATAGTTGTGCCCTCAACAACTAAATCACTTCCCACTGCCCACTTCACAAGTACACACCGTAGTTCTGAATATTGAAAACATGATTATTAATTATATAATTGATAAAATTGATTTTAAATAAATACACGCATATTTTTCACTTGAACCATTTTAGACAAACATACGGGGCACTTAATTCAATACTGTTATTTCTATGCGATCAGGAGTAACGTCATAGATTCAGATGTCAATGCTTTTTTGATAGGGGATGTACGAGACAGGTCACGATTTCGACTTCACATAAGAACTGCCGAATAAAGCGTCAATAAGGAAAAAGAGAATAATTATACAAAGCAGAAATGCGTGATAAATACAAAAACCAAAGCAAAAACCACGATTGCTTGTGGTTTCTAAAAGATCGCAAAATTCGTTTTAAGGGTTCTAGCAATACTATTTTCTCTTAAAAAAAACAGCTGTTTATTTACTGTAGTAATGACATGGTAGAAGAATACAGGTAGTCACATTGACTCAGCTGCTGGGACCATGAACTGTCAAACCAAATTTGAAAACTTTGAATGAAAAATTATTCAAATTTGTAAAAATTGTTGAAAAATGTATATCAAAACAACCCCCGATTGGTGTCGTATTAGAAAACCTTTAAAAACATTAAAATTTTGTTGAAATATTCATGTTTCCAAGCTTTGATGCAGCTATCTGTATTCTTCTACCATGGGAACTAGCTTGTACTAGAGCATGATACAATTGTTACAGGTAGAAGCAAACCTGGGGCTGGATTCTTGTTCTATGAAAATATGAAATGAAAAATATTTCCTTTATAAAATTGGGCATTTCTTTCCTTTATAAAAGTTTTCATAAAACAAGAATTGAGGCCCTGATATACAATAGGTATACAGCTTTTTGATATAGAATTTCACTGCAGGGCAATATTAACATATTTTTTACATTATAAAGGGAAAAACACTGTTATAATTTACAGATCGCTAACAGCGATGATGGTGAAATTTTTTGCGGTTAAAGAACATTGACCCCAAATTAGGTAATATAGTCATATATTTCAAGTTTCTTTAAATTGCAAAATGTAGAATACTTTATTTATATACAGTTTGGTTTCAGTTTGAAAGGGATGTTGCTCTTTTCACGATTTTCTAGCGATTGCTTGAAGTGTTAAGAGATTTGGACCTACAGCTAACAACAATACATTCAGGGGAATGATATGAAATCATTAATATTAATTTTTTTAAGACCGTTCTTCTGCATTTTAAATTTAATAATCTAAATTTCAAAAATTAACGTTTTTTTAATATAATAATTTGTTGAAAATTGTTTTGTTTACAGTTTTGTACATGACACTTGTCAAGGTAGATCTAACAGGTAACCGCATCGGCGAATTGCTACCCTCAAATGTCAAAATTGGCATCTAAGGCGGCAAATTTGCTTCAACCAATCAGAAACGAGGTGTTTGTCTACATTTTATTTTGTGTGCCTCTCGTCGTAAATGAACGTCGCAATAAAAGTTGCTATAGTAAAACAAATAAGATTAAAATAAGTATTAATTGTAGTATTGCGATATTTTTTAAACCAAGAAACTTATAATGACTATATTTTACTGGTTTAAGCCGAAAGTTTTCCGGAACTGCAAATGGCAAGAGTCGAATTCTTGCACTACTTCCCGTGATATGCTTTGGGAATCTTCGATGTTGAGGCTAATTTAATTCTTAAAGCTGCATTCCATTCTAACCTCCTTCCTTCATTTTCTTTTAATTTTTTACTGGTTTCACTCTAAACTTGTTTTTAAATTATTAAGGTACTTTTAGGGAAGACAACATAAACAAATTTGTTGTTGCATTCATTTAGGGCGAATTCTTCATTACAACAATTTGTTTTGACATTTAATGGTGCCGTTAGCTGGGCTGATGCGATTACCTAGTACATCTACCTTGACACTTGTATTACTTACAAAAACAAATTTGTATGTGGTTGTTGTTAGATTTGTTGTACAACAACACTTGCTGTTACCTGTATTTTTCTATCATGCACTAGAGAGACCCATGGTAGAGTCAAGAAGGTAAGGTCAAGCATGTTTACATATTTTTTCAAAATTATTCATTTGACAACATCTTATTGTCAAAATGTGTATTTATAAATTCAATCCATTGTACATACACAAATCAGAGACGAATCAAAGTGCGTGAAATTGCTAATATCATGGGCATCTCAAATGATGGAGTCCATATAATTTTGCATGAAAAACTACAGATGAATAAGTTTTCTGCAAGATAGGTGCAGCATTTATTTACAGTCGATCAAAAACGCATAAGAATGAACATTTCTCAAGCTTTTTTGGATTCCTTTAAGCGAAATAAAAAGGATTTCAAGCGTCGCTTCATAACTGTTTATGAGAGATGGATCCACCACTATGCTCTAGAAACGAAAGAACAACCCAAACAGTGAAGCTGGTGGAATCAATTCAAATTTTTTGGTACTTCAAAGATATTTTATTGATTGACTACGAGTATCTGCAATCGGGTAAAACAATAAAATCAGAATACAATTGCCACCTTTTTGATCATAAAAAAAATATATATATTCCTGATTTAGTTCCCATGGACTTATGATTGTTTCCAAATCTAAAAAAAATCCTTTCTGGCAAGCGTTTTACCTCAAATGAAGATGCAATTACAGTAGTAAACCACTATTTTGAAGACCTCATGGAAAAGCGTTGGAATATGTGTATTAAAGTTTCAGGAGATTATATTGAAAAATGAAAATATTTTTGAAAAAGTTTCCGAACCGCCCTCGTATCGACAAAATCTACAGTTTTTGGAGCGAAATAAAAATTTCGAGTTATATAAAACATGATTTTGAAAAGAAAGTTTGATCTTTCACTAAATTTTCGCGGTTTTAAATTATTTATTCAAAATGCATGCAACAATTTGTTTGGTTTTTTGTTTTGATAGTAATTCTGACATTACATGCCAAACAGTTAGACCCTCTATATAATTGCATTTTTTTCATTGTACCATGGCCGACTTATGTCAATTTAATTTTAACGCATGATCTGTTTCAGAACTGCAAGAATTTTAAAGTGTGGGCTTAAATTGAGTTTAGCTCCAGCTGGCGCAAATTTCTGAAATATTTAACGAAGATAGGTCTTGTTATGCTAATCACAACGACATATTTTTTTGCAATACTTCCCGAGATAAAAGGTTCCAAAGTTGCAAAATACCCATTTTTTCTTTATTATTTCTAAACCGATAAACGATGTAAAAACTACCGGTAGGTTTTAGTATCCTGATTACAACAAATAGACTTTTATGTCAAATAGACTTTTTCAAGGCGCAACAATTGTTTTTTATTGACCTTTTTTCCTCAAAAATCGTATTTTGCGGAAAACCCTAAAAATTAGATGGAATATTGGTGTTTCTCAACAAAATTGAATCCAAGATAGTAGAACAAGAATGTTTTATCCCAAAATTATACATTTTGATAACCGTTAACTTAGAAAATATGCATTTCTGTTGCCTCTAAATTTGAAATAAATTCGAATTGTTTTCTTTTTTATTCAAAACAATACACACATATATAAAGTGTGTATAAGTTTTGACGGAATAGGGGCAAAGAAAAAAATTGTATTTAGAGGGTAGCTTTGTTCTACCTTCTGTAAATATGCCATAATTTAGGGAGCTCCCAACAATATAGGGCTTAAAAGTAAAAGTGACAACAGATATGTAAAACGCATCCAGTCTTCAGGGACTTTCGAAGGATATGAATACGGCTCCGATGATGTTACATTTACAACCCATGCTGCATTTAAAGCCAAGTTAACCTTTTCAAATTTCACTGCATAGTAAACAGGTTCCCATCTCTGATTTGTGTATGTACAATGAATTCATAAATATACATTTTGAAAATGAGAATGTTTGACATGTGACAAGTTAAATTACAGAAAATACAGAGATGTGCTTTACCTTCTTAATTTTACCATGGGTGTGTCTAAACACACAAAATTAACCCACTGAATCTATTAAATTTAGTGGGTTAATCGTCAATAGTATGAGAGGATCTATTTTAATACCCTCCACCATAGTATGGAGGGTATATTAACTTTGTCATTCCGTTTGTAACTCCTCGAAATACTCATGTCAGACCCAACAAAGTATATATATTTTTGATCGGCATAAAATTCTAAGTCCGCCTGTCTATCTGTAGCAATCATCTTTCGAATAAATTGAGATAGAAGGCTAAAATTTTGCACACATGTTAATTTTGCCAGTAGGCAGGTTAAGATATTCGGTATTTTGATGATTTTAGCGACATTATTCACCGGAATTGTTTCAAATTTGGAATTTAAAGTTCGTAATGGATACTACGGTCTATGACAGAATATTGTCTATGCCGGCCCATGTCTTCGTATAGCTCCCATATAACGGTACCTCCTAATATTCGGTATTTTGATGATCTTAGCGTCATTATTCAACGGAGTAGTTTCAAATTACGTATTTAGAGTTCGTAATGGGAACTACAGTCTGTGACAGAAAATTGTCTATGCAGTTCCAGGTATACCTATAGGACCCATATATCAGTACCTCCCTATATTCCGTATTTTGAACGATTTTATGTACAATACTCACCGAAATTGTTTGAGATGTCGTATTTGAAATTCGTAATGGATGTCACAGGCTGTAACAGAAAATTGTCTATGCAAGTCCAGGTCTTCGTATAGCTCCGATGTAACGATACCTCCCTATGTACGATACTTTAATGATTTTAGCGGCATTAGTTTCGAATTTGAATATGGTAATGGCTTATGACAACAATGCCTATGCAGGTTTTAGTCGTACAGACCCCAATATAACGGCTATATTTGTATTTTTAAGATTTTAACAGAATTTTTAACGGACTTTATTCCTTAAAATTTCGAAATTCGTTCAAATGGTGGAGGGTATTCAAAGTTTGGCCCGTCCGAACTTACTGTTAAGATTCTAAAATAATTTTTAACGGATTTTATTTTTTGAAAATTTCCAAATTCGTTTCAAATGGTGGAGGGTATTCAAAGTTCGGCCCTGCCTTACCGAACTTACTGCTTTTTAATATGTTGTATGCTAAATCTGATAGAATAAATCCGGATTAAGCTATAAATCTTGTTAAAATCGTCAATATACCGAATATAGAGAGGTACTGATATATGGGGCCTATACGAAGGCCTGGACCTGCATAGACAATTTTCTGTCACAGATTGTAGTTCCCATTACAAACTCTAAATACGTAATTTGAAACTACTCCGGTGAATAATGAAGCTAAGATCATCAAAATACAGAATATTGAGAGGTATCGTTATATGGGGGCTATGCGAAGACATGGACCTGCATAGACAATTTTCTCTC